GTGATCTTGTCCTCCACTTCAATCACTTAAAAAATAAAAAAAAAAAAAAAAAAAACTAAAAAAAAAAAAAAAAAAAAAAAAAAAAGAATCACCTCAGATCCAATTCCTGCGTCTTTTGAACAGTTCGAATAACATAAAAAGCCGATGCCGTGTCATTTCAGAGAATTGGGGCCTCATTTGTCATGTGATTTATATTTGTAAAAAAAAATAAAAACTAAAGTCCCCTTTTGCGGTCTATCCTTCAGGCTCAGGTCCTCTATCAGAGGCCTGGGAGCTTGAGGGTCCTGTGCAGTATCTTAGCTGGGGTCTTGGCTGGTGTGATAGACCCCAGCCTCTATGAATCTTGTGCTCAGAGCTTGCTCCTGTGCTGCCATGATTAGTGCCTCTGTGCTTCTTTCAGTCCAGCTTTGTCTAGCCACTGGTAGGATTTCTGGATGTCAGCCACCTCCTCTTTCTGCCAGTGATGTATACAGTCCAGGGGTCTGTCCTTTCATGGTAGTTCCTCCTCTTCCTCCTCTTTCTTGGGTTTCTGCTTAGGGTATTCACTGAGCACGCGGCTGGTGGGATGTTCAGGCCTATGCAGAACAGCGCTGGGGACAGAGCATCGCCTTGGCTTGATGGTGACTTGTGCTATGGGCTTGAAGTTGGCCTCTAGTTTTGTATGCCACAGTCCCATTAAGTTCCTGATGAAGGCTCTTAGGGTCCTGTTGATCTTGTACAGTTCTAGGCATTCCAGGCATTTCATAATCCTTCTTGTAACCCAGACCTTCCCAAAGTGTGGGGCCCGCCCCCTAGGGAGGGGCACAGAGCCATTGCAGGGGGCGCAGTATGAAAAGGGGAACATTTTTCTTGTAAAAACAAAGGGGGTCCAGCAAAAAAAGTTTTGGGAGTCACTGTTGTAACCAATCCAGGCAATGCACAGATTGGTCCGTCTAGCCTTGCAGTCTCAGGTGACTGTTCTACTGGTGTTTCGCTCCTCTGATATTCTTGCCAATTCCTTTCTGTGCCACGCTCATGTGCTCATGTGTGTGTGTATAAATATAGTTATATTATCTTAGGTATAGTGGTTGTATAGTAGTGTTGGACAGAGTAAGACGGCCACAGTGATAGACATAGCAATACCGAATGACAGCAACATCAGGAAGAATGTACACAAGAAGCTGGAGAAGTACCAAGCGCTCAGAGAAAAGCTCCAGAAAATGTGGAGGGTGAAGAGCCACATAGCACAACATAGAAGAGCCACCTTGGCGGGACAAGGCTCAGCTGTTCATCTGCACCTAAAGGACAAAGGTCACTCTTTCAAGGATGCCAATGTTCACATTTTGGAAAGAGAAGACAAATGGTTTAAAAGAAGAGTGAAAGAAGCCATCTATGTCCTCTGGGAACGGCCATCTTTGAACAAGGTTAGTGGCTTACAACACCAATTCTCTGCCATCTATAATCCAGTTTTGAGATCCCTCCCCAGACACCTTAACACCCACCTACATCCTGGGCCATTTGACCTCAGTAAATCACATGATAGGGTGTGGCTAGCTTTCATGGTGGGTTCACCTGAAACCTTGGTTGATTGTGACCCACACCCATTTTCACACCTTTGCTCATGTGATTAGGTAGAGGACAAATAAGGGGTCCATGTTCCTCTTGGGGAATCTGGGACTCTCCACCATTTGACCTTCTTGAATGAGAGGTGAAAGGTCTTAAAGCAACTTAAAGAAGTCCAGACACTTTTCTTTCCAAGCTACTTAGACTAAGATGACCTGGATCACTGAGACCTTTCACAGACATACAATATATGAAACAAAGGTGAGATTTTGTGTTTGACTTAAATCAGTGGTTCCCAAACTTTTTTTGCTAGGCCCCCCTTTGTTTTACAAGAAAAATGTTCGCACCCCCCCCCCCTTTCTCGCGCGTGCACACACACGCACAACCACATCCTTCAACCACAAACACCCATATTTTGCTCCATTGCGGTTTATTTCACACCTCAAACATTTAGTAAACAATTAAGCAAATACAAGTAATCTGCAATAAATTACAGGTAGTAAGAAAGTAAACTACTAACTCTATTACGCTACGTCCACACCTACACGGGTATTTTTGAAAACGCAGCTGTTTCGTCCACACGTAAACGGCGTTTCGAATCACCGAAAACGCAGATTTTTTAAGACTCCTTTTTTTCTGTTTACGTGTGGACGAGGAATACAGAGTTCGTCACGCAAAGTCAAAGGAATGTGCCTTTTTCACGTCACGCTGTGCGCCACGTTATTGTTTACATGAGATGAATTGCAGAATGGCAGGTAGAGACAAAATGCTGTTAATCTTACTGTCTTCAAGTTTTACACACTAACATATACACACGCAGTTACTGTCCCTCCATTTAGAAAGGCAGAGGCGTCACGGTGTGATTATTTTACTGTATGTGTGTAATAATATTCAACATTGCTATCAATGCATTTTTCAAAAAATGCCTCTTTGTGCAAAATGGGCTTAAAAACATAAACAACTGTAGGATACTGTTTGTCCGTGATTTGGAGAGCCCAGTGCGTGCTCCCAACGCAGGGAAAACCAATTCTGCAGGGGAGACCTACCTTGGCACTTGTGCAGGTGAAGCCAAAGGGAAGATATGCTTCGCCATATTTTCTAGTCTTTGGCTTAGAATGAAGTTGGTTTGAAAACATATTCAGCGATGCTTCATCTCCTGCTTTGCATTTCTGTGGGCGCCCTGTGCTAGCAGTGTTCAAGCGTTTTGTTTGTTCTTCCCCCCCTTTTCATACCGTGCCCCCCCTGGAATGGCTCTGCACCCCCCCGGGGGGCGGGCCCCACACTTTGGGAAGGTCTGACTTAAATGTACTGTGTCAAAAGAAGAACAGAAACTATCATGTCATATTTTTACAAAAAGAAAAACAGCAGCTTTATCACTTTATTTGCTGAAGTGAAGAGATGAATGCTCTACAGTGGCTTTTGTTGTCCATGTGCATTTGCTCCAAAGGTATGTGTGTTCTCTATAATGTATAAATTCTTAAAATATACCGAGTTAAACAGTATGTGTTTTGTTTTGTTTTTTTTATCTTATTTAGCTGAAGAAAAAAATTTCATTATTAAGATTTTGTCCTGTGCATTGTCTTCCTCTCATTGGTTACCCTGTTTTTGTTTTTTTCTTCATCACGTTTTGCTCTCAAATTTATTGCAGTGACTCAACCTGAAGCTTCATCTTGGACTGCTGCTGTGTCATCCTCAGTGAAAGGTCTCCTTGGATCATGTGTGGTGATCCCCTGCTCTTATAACTACCCAGATCCAAAAACCAATACCACAAGCTTTACAGGGATTTGGTACAATGACAATGATCAAGTCGTCTATCATTCTGATGCATCTCAAACTCCGGGTCAGTTTCGGAATAGGACAAAGCTGCTGGGAGACCTCAGCAAGAAGAACTGTTCTCTGATGATTGATGATCTTCAACAAAGTGATGTGGGGCCTTTATATTTCCGGATTGAAATTAAAGGCTATGACCAGTACTCCTACAAAAATAACAAAGTCTCTATTTCAGTCAGTATGTAAAATAATTTATTTTAAAAATTATTGTAAGCATGTTGTGAATATTAGCATAACTATATTTGTGAAAAGATAACATCAGTAATATCCAACGGATGTTTTAACTGTTTTGTTTGCAATAAAATAGGAAATATCTCTCCATTAAATAATCCCTATGCCCAGTCACTGTTTTTAATCTATTTTACTTTTTACAGTTAAATACTTATCAAATCAATTAACTTGATCAAAATTGATAGCTGCATAAAACACAACATCAGCAGCTATACTGTTTAAGTGCATTTGTATTTCCAATACAGTACACTTACCATCACAACTGCATTCGGTTTATGACTATAATCTTTTTTGTTAACACAGGTCAACCTGATTTATCTGTGCAAGAGGAAGTAAAGGAGGGTGAGAATGTGTCTGCATCCTGCTCCGTGTTTCACTCCTGCCCCACATATCCACCTTCTTTCATCTGGAGTCACTTTGGAGAACAGCAAAATCAAACACAGCAGCTTCATGAAGGCCAGTGGAATTCAACATCTACTCTGACCTTTCGCCCAAACCGCTCTGATCACAACAAGCCTTTAAAATGCAGAGTAACATACCATCGAGGGCTGCACCTGGAAACATCTAAGATACTTCAAGTAAAATGTAAGTATACTGTATCAGTTTATACTAATAGCAGATAATTCTACCAGTGCAGATAATCAAATTCGGGTGAAACGGGTGAAAACGGGTGAAAACCCGTTTTTATCAGTTATGTGAAATTGCCAGAGCAAAGCCTTATCTTCCTCCAAAGGACCTAGAAAAACTTTTTCATGCCTTCATCACCTCTGGACTGGACTACTACAATTCTCTCTATTTGGGTCTTCAACACTCATTTCTCCATTGCTTGCAGTTAGACCAAAATGCTGCTGCACGTCTTTTAGTGTTAGAATGTATGAACATATCACTCCAGTTTTAGCAAATTTACACTGGCTCCCTGTCTAATATCATGTTGATTTTAAGATTCTTTCACTTACTTTTAAAGTTAAATGATATGGCGCCCAGTTATTTAAGCAAACTCCTCAACATGTATAACCCCAAAAGAGCACTGAGATCGTCTAGCCAGATGCTCTTACTACAGCCAAGGTCTCAATTGAAGCATAGAGGAGATCGGGCCTTCGCAGTTGCAGTGCCTAGACTCTGGAATAATCTGCCAGATGATATTCGTACTTCAGAGTCTATTCAGTCTTTTTAAATTGTATCTTAAAACTCACTTTTTTAGCGTTGGCTTTTAATTCAAGTTTAGTTTGAGTAGCATCACGCTTGTTTTATGTTTGTTAATGCATTGTTTTTCTATTGTTTTCTCTTGTTCTTAATTAATTGTAAAACACTTTGGTCAACTGTGTTGCTTTTAAATGTGATATAGGAATACATTTTGATTTGATTTAGATTTTAAAGCTTTAATTTAAAGGTTGAGTATAAGTCAGATGTAAATGAGGGAGAATCTGTACACCTGAAGTTCTCCAGTGATGCTAACAGGATATGATAAATCCCCACTAATTATATTTCTTGTCCTTAAAGCTGCCCCTGACATCAAGACTTCCTCAAAGTGCTCCTCTGAGAACGGCATCATAAAGTGTGACTGTATCGTAGAGTCCGAGCCTCCCAGCATGGTCTATTTTATTTTGGGTGACAGAGTCATGCAAAGCAGCAAAGCAGAGAAAAATGGCTCTGTTACTATTGAGACTCTGCAGACAGACTTTGGGTCTTTCAGGCGTGTGCAGTGCCTGGCAAACAACATGCTGGGATATGACAACATCTTGCTCTCTTTACCTGTTAATGGTAAGAAAGACTTAGGATGCACTGATCTCTCTGTTTTTACATGACAAAAACACTCATTATGGTTTCTATCTGGACAGACAACATGCAGAATATTCTTATCTCATCTGGAGCAGGTGTGATTTTTCTGATTATTCTGATAGGAAGTGGGTTGGGAGTTGTTAAAAAATGGTAAGTTGTCATGAACATAATCATTGAAAATAAGCATTTGTTATTATTGCATCATTCGTGAAATAATAGTCATAATTACAACCAAATGAACACCAGAATGTATGTGTGTGTGTGCATATCTATCTATCGATCGATCTATCGATCGATAGATCGATCGATAGATCGATAGATATTTTAAATAAATGTATGTCTTTTTGGTTAGAGGCTGTGAAAAGTGTCAGTTTCCTTTCTCATTTAATTAAAAACATTTTACTGCCAGCAGGGGGAGATCAAGAGACACAACAACCACTAACCTGAGCAACATGATGTCAGACAGACCTGTGGAGCTCCCTCATAGTGCCCCACAAAAAAGGTTTTAATTCTTCACTTCTGTTTGCAAACAAACAAATATTACTGATGATTAAATATGATTTAAGAAGATATGCAATTAGATTTAATCTTTACCTCTTGCATTCTTTCTCCAGAAAAAACTGCTGTAAGGATATCCCTTGCCCTGACATGTACAACAACCCTCCTGTCTATGGCAATGTAGGGATAAGTAATGTTTCCTTCATTAGTTCATTCATTTTGTGCATGCATGAAAAGGGGAGTGAATTTATCTTGTTTCTCTGTGCAGACTGACTGCGATGAGTCAATATACAACAATGTGTAGCGTGTGGAAAACCAGCTGCAGTCCATGTTTGTGTCTTCTGATATGAATCAAGAAAAACATCCTTGTGCAACTTTATCACATATTTCTATCATATATTTTTCACACTTTCTTTGGAAAATAGAGTAAGTAAATAGTATTTGTTAAAGTGCTCTTGTTAATCTCATCTAGAACATTTCCTTTGGCTTATCAAATTATATTGCTTAAAAAATGACCAATAATGTATTGTAAAAATCTTTAAGTTGCTAGGTCGCAAAGGTTGCAGATTTTAAAAAATTCAATCGCAAAATTATTATTATAAAGTATATAATATATGACATATTTTTCACAAATGTGTAATTCACATTTGTACATTCTTACTGTAGGTTTGTAAAAATCTACACTAAGAATGTACTCATGTTCAAAATTATCGCAACATATTGTCTGATTAAATTATGTGCAAACTTGTCAAATTACTAAAAATGTTTTGAAACTATGTTGTTCATTATTTATACTCAATATCATTTTTCTTTATTATTACCTTTGTTAAGAGCTGTTATGGGTTATCAAATACAACATCAGTCAAGTTATATGATATTGGTCTATCAGCACAGGTCTAGTTGAAGGATGTTTGACCTTCATGGGGTGTGGGTATTTGTGGAGAATAACTATAGATTAGTCTTGAGCATTTATGCAAAATGAAATAAAGAACAAAAAAAGTGTGTTATTCAACCATATTTAATGTCTTACACAATCGTTTACACAGTCATGTTTTAAAATTAAAAAATTAAAAAAACTACCATCAGAATTATTCATGTATGTTTTTGCTTCATGAAGCCATGTTACACATTCTATGCTAATTTCCTTCTGTTTCCTAGGACCACTGCAATATACTCACGGCCTGTTTTATATTTTGATACATGACCAAAGTTCTTGCAATTCAATTGCAACACAAGTAAGACTAATTGGTAATTAGGTCTGGATTTTGCAGGCCAGCATGCCAAGGTGAACAAATGTAGTAAATGCTGCTTTGAAAAAATGATTTTGAATATTTGATCGAGATTAGTGGAATTGCTCAGAGTTTTATTAGTTTGATCTTTCTGTTGTTAGAAATGTGTGGAAAAGGTTTAATTCAAAGACTTACAACAATCATCTGTGCCAGAGACAGCTTGCTTTCAACTCAAGTTAACACAGACCTTTATATCAAAGATATTTAAACAGACTGTGACTCAGTAGTCAATGAAAATATTAATACTGGTCAGAAGATGGGGCTGTTAACCAAAATTTAAATATAGCAGTTCCTGAAAAGGTTCAGCAAAAAATCTGAATTTGAAATATTGAAAAACATGAACATGCAACAATAGATAAAATGGAATATGGTTTATTCTTCATTAAACATTACAAAGCACAAAATAAAACCAAGAAAAACATGCTCAAAAGTCACAGAGTAAAGCATGTGTGTAAAAAAAAAGAAAGAAAGAAAAAGTGATTAATATTTGAAGTCATATGAAGGTGATGTAAACTAACGGACACCATCAGTCCAGAAAACAACAAACTGAAAACATCAGAAATTAACCACCACCACAACTTTCAGGAATTCAGGAAGCTGGAAATCAGAGTTAAGGGGAAGAAGAACACAATGAAGAATAGTACAAAAGGTTAAGTAAAAAAATAACATAATTCCTTTTTTGTTTACATTTTTTTCTGATATTTTCATATTCTAGATATTCTAGATACATATTTAAGCATTTTTTATTCATCTTTAGGCATAAAAAGAACATTTTAGAACTTCATTTTTTAAACATGTACTTTTTAAAGAGTTTTTTACATGTTCACTTAGGTGGACAATTTATAGTGTATAGAGTGAGACATCAATGTCCAGTGTAGTGGTTTATGTGCAAGTATACCATCGACACTGACACAAATACAAGAAAATAGCCCTTGAATAGCTGTCTACTGTAGTGACCACTATGCGTGAAATGGTTAAACATACCTGATTATATTCTGATCAGTATTAAGCAATTAAGCATAATTGACTATCAGAAAAAAAAATACCTAATACCATTTCTCTTATTCACAATCCCGTATAATGATGGGTTGTGTCACGGTACTGGGTGACCCAGTTTCGTTGTATTTTGTTATTCATTTGTGTTCTAGTTTCAGTTTAGCTTATCTAGTTAATTTCTGCCATTTTAGTCCTTTGTTTTTTAGATCCTTTTGTGTCATCTGCCCCTGTAGTAAGTCTCCCTGGTTTGTGTGTCTACCTATCATGGTTCTTGTCTGTGTGGTTCTTGTTGTCCTGTTTCCTGTTTATTCTGAAAGTCTTGTTTCCATGTTCTATGTGCGTATTTCCACTGTGGTGCCATTATGGTCAATTGTGTCCGCTGTTTCTCCATGTGTGTTCACTTCCCTCTGTTACACTCAGGGGCAATTCTAGGATCAGAGCTTTGGGGGTGCTGAGCACCCAGAGAGCTGCCCATCCTGGCAAGGTCAACTTTAGTCATCACGATGAGACTTCTTCCCCGTCTCTGTCAGTCCCTGCATCCTTAAATGTCTCCAGTTGTCCCGAGTTCCCTCTGACTGTCTCCTTGGTGCATTTAAACCCCTGTTCCTCCCTGTCCTCATCGTCTGTTGTCTTCATCTCCATTATCACTCATCATAATTGTACCCTCTCTGTGCAAGTCTGCAAATTTCTTTATTAAATCATGAGATTCTTAAATTCATCAAGTCTCTCTGTGCCTGGGTCCTACACTCCAAAAATAGAAGAGTCCTTGAAATGTACAAAATATTATTACAAAATTAGAAAAATTGAGACACCTTGGCCTCTGGTACAATGTATACAATGTATGAAAAGATCTTTATTTGCCTATTTGCACTACTCTGCCTGGTTTGCACTCAATGTCATTTACCCTTGTATTGTATATTGTATAGCTTTCTTGTTATATGTAAAATTGTATTATATTATTTAATTTTTACTTTAAAATATTTTACTTGCATTTTTAATCACTCTTATATTTAAATGTTCATTTTCTATTTTATCTAGGGATTGAGAGTAACGAAGTTTCTATTCTCTGTATGTCCTGTACATGTGGCAGAATTGACAATAAAGTTGACTTTGACTTTGACTTTGACTTTACTGCAGATACTACTATGGCTCTGCAGATTTTTTCTTTTCTTTTATCCTATGTCGCCTCACCTTGAGGTTGGTAAATCTGTCTATCACATTTTGGTGGTCAAGTTTCTCAAGCATTTCTCAACTGACATCACAGCCAGGTGCTGGAGTCTGCTTTGACCCATGGTCCTTCTCAGCCAGGTATGGAGCTGACTCAAGACACTAAAAGACCTTTCACAGCTACAGGTGCTAGCTGTGTTTGTTAGGGCAACCTGAATAACAGTTTTCAGTGTGGGGACGATCTGATTATCCAGAAGATTGTACAATGTAAACATATCTGGAATGGCACCAGCCTCATTCTTGAGCTTCAAAAAGGTTTTGACAACCGTGACTTCCTCTGACTAAAGCTCAATATGGTAATGCAGTGCCAGGGCTGACAACCCAGTTTGTTTTGCAGATTCTGTACAGCAGCTTTAATATAGGGAGAAAACAACTTCCAGATTGTACGAGTAAAATTAGTTTAACAGTTTCTGTTTTGCCTGTGTCCTGAATTCGAAAATGTTGAGCAACAGAACAAACCAACAGAGGCTCAGGAGAGTGCAATCAGACAAGGAGTTTATTAAACACACGCAGGAGGAGAAGTATACAGCACCACACCAGCAAAACGTCTCCTGCTAAGAATACACGTGGAAGTGTTTTATAACATCAGGGTTCACGCCCCTTCTCGCGTCGATTACAGATCAGATACATCGATTTGCAGTAAATGGTACATCTTAAATGGCTAAAAACAGACACAAAAGTTCCCTTTTCTATAACACCTTCCATACACGGCAATAAATTTCAAGCCTACATGGTCCCTGAGGGCTTGTCCTCTTCTTGACGGGTCTTCTGTCATCTGTTACCAAGTAGACTAAAATGCAGTCAGAAGCTAAATGAGTTTCAGGCCTTTGGTCTGGCAGGTTTTTGGATTATATGTGTTTGTAAGCGTGTATGTGTCTATCCTTCTATGCTCCAAGTCACCCACAATATATCGACTGAGACATCGCGCTCATCGAAGCTTGAAACCTTCAATAGACTGAGACTGATCATCAACTCTGAATAAAGCACAGACATGCAATGTGTGTATAAACTGACTAGGGCTGCACCTGTAAGAAAAAGGTTAATAGCAGTAAGTTTCATAAACATCTTTAAGTCTTGTGTCTCTTACTGTTGTCAGGTCGTCTGCTTATGTTCCCCCCCTTGTAGTCACAGTCATAGTTATAGTCATAGTCACAGTTAAAATCATAGTCAAACTCATAGTCTAGTCTTAGTTGTCGGTTTTGGTTTTGTTATTCATGTATCAGCCTAAATAAAGGCTTGCTTTTGTTTTTCAACCTCAGGAACCATCAAGTTGTTCTCTAAAAGTGAACACGAACTTTTTTTTTAAGTGCTTTAAAAGTGCGAAAACCCGCAGCTACAAACATCTGACTGACACTACTACCTTCTAGATATCCTATAGAAGATTCTCATTGCATCACTACATGCAACATGCAGCTTCTGCATGCAACAGTGATTGTAAGAGGACCACAAGGGGGCAGTACATAGCAGTGTGCAATACGTTTCAAAGCAGGGGCGGGTGTCCTGCAGGTTTTAGATGTGATCTGATCCAACACAGCTGATTTAAATGGCTAAATTACCTCCTCAACATGTCTTGAAGTTCTCCAGAGACCTGGTTATGTACTCATCATTTGATGCAATGGTATTTGCCTGCACATAGAGCTTACAGTGCTGTCTGTATCATCATCATCATTCATTTCATCAGTAATAAAGCATGGATCGTATCTTTTTAATCAGACTTACACTTTATTTATAAATTTGATTAAAAATAAATATGATTTACTATTAGCTAAAACATACAGATAAACTTTTGATAAATATTTGCAGCTCTGGAGGCCAGTATCCCTGAATTGGAGAGTTTGCTTCAAACCCTTGAAAAACCCCTATCTAGCCAGGCCCCTGTAGCTGATTGTAACGCTTGCTGACCCCTGGCAAGCTGTCCCAAGAAAACTGTCCCAAGCACAGGACCGCTGGGTGATGGTGATGAGGAAGCATAGTCTTAAACAGAAGCTCCAGAGGTAGCACCAACATGTTCATGTGTCTTCTCCACTCGGCGACACACCATCCAAGGATTAAATTCCAGTAATTGGCGATTCTGTTCTGAGATGTGAAGCTAGAAACACCAGCAACCATAGCCAATTGTCTTCCAGAGGCCAGAGCTTTCAATGCGCATATTAGAGTCAAACCACAAACTATATCACTCTTTCACAACAAATAATAACGCGCACAAGTTGTTTCAGTGATAACGAACTATATTAATTATAGATAATGCTGTTTATCAACAGTGAAGGCATGGATGTCAACAGATTAACACAGGTGAAACTGCCCCTGACTAGATCTTGCAGAGTGAAAAAACACAAAACAACCACTCGAGGGCCAACTGCCGAACAAAAAACACCTAATTCCATCATATTACAATAGCTATATCAAGCTATATAGTTTATGTCTTCCATATTTCCAACCATATCCATAATCACATACTGTGTATGCTACCATTGTATGTAGTGTATTATCTTACTTTTTTCATTGATTGTACTTATTTGTATTTTTGTATTTCCTTCTGATATCTGTACCTGAGCTGAGGTGACGCAAAAATTTCCCCGTTGTGGGATCAATAAAAATAAAGTCTTATCTTATCTTATCTTATTGAGGGAAATTTAAAACTGCTGGCTAAGGGTAAATGTAAATTCACTAAAATCCTAATTCCAAGCAGTAATGACACCTGGTTACATTAATCAGAGGACACTAAAATCAATATTGAAAGGATGACTTTGCCAAAACAATGTCGGACTCTGTAGTTTTCTCTGGTCCCCTCCCCAATTGGACCACGAATGACAAGTTTAGCTGCATGTTCTCCTTAAATTCCTGTCTGCCTGAGTGGTGTCCCACAAATGATGTGGGCTTGATAGATAATTGGGAAACTTTCTGGAGGAAACCTCCCTTATTAGGAGGGACCGCATCCATCCCATTTTGGATGGAGCAGATCTCATGTTTAGAAATCTGGCCAAATTAATCAAAACCTCCCAAACGTGACTATCCTACGGTGGCCCTGAGAGGCCAAACGGACTGCAACTTCAGAAAGCACTTGCAAAAAGAAAAATGCTGCAAAAAGAAAAATGCTGCAAAAAGAAAAATGCTGCAAAAAGAAAAATGCTGCAAAAAGAAAAACGCTGCAAAAGCACACAAAGCACAACGGAAATAGGAAAAAAGACAACGGAAATAGGAAAAAAGACAACGGAAATAGGAAAAAAGACAACGGAAATGTTTCTGGGGAGACAATAACCGGACGGACCAGTTGCACGAACCAAAACATGCTAACAAGTGCACTGGGACTGGGAGACACTTCAAAGAAGTGGAGCGGCCAAAGAGTAAACTTTCAAAAGTAAGTTCTGAATATTATGTCACTTATTTATGTGCAAATGTTAGCCGTTAGATAGTCGACCTTAATCTTACAGAGAATGTGATGATTTTGTGGATAATTAAAGTCAGTCATATATCCACAAACACAACAGGCTGAAAGTCAGTGATGCTGCTCGGTTTGCAGTCCTGAATATCACGGCACAAGCAGGATTCACTGCACTGTTAATGTTAGCTATGTTATATTGCTGCCTCTGTTCGGTGGTGTCGAGCCAAACGGACTTTAACGTGTGTTTGAACGAGCTGACGGTTCACTCGTTAAGCTGAAAGAAAGATGCTTTAATCACAGCAGTCACACATGTGTCCACTGCACCATCTGGGAACTCTTCTTGTTTAGCACTCGTAATAACACAAACACTAAATCCTCCTTCTCTTGTGCTGTTTTGTAGCAGTGTTACACCTGAGACTGTCACCTGTCTGTCTGTCCTGCACTCTCTCTCTGTTTCTTTCTCTCTGATTGTGGAATAAAAGTATGAACATGTGTTTATAAGTTACACTTGTGTTTGAATCCTGCAGCTTATCACACATTTGATTTCCATGTGTGACGACTGCAAGTGTCCAGAGTGAGGACAGACTGAGGGACCCACTGCTGCACATCATCTGTGAGGCTTTGCACCCCTGATGATCCACCGAACTCAACAGTGTGTGAGGAAGAGGAGGAGGAAGAGCCAGCAGCAGCTGACAGATGGAGAGAATAGACAGACTGTTCCCTGTTTGTGAAGGACTGCTAGGAAAGTTTAACATAACTGTCTGTCCTGAATCAGTCTTATTAGGTAATGTTCAAATAATTTTATCATTCCAGTGTTTTCAGTGTGGGAGAAAGTACTCAGGGCCTTCAAGTTACACACTATGAAAGGCAGCAACAAGTTTAATTTCAGAAACCTAAAGTATGTATCAGCAGCAGAATGGAGCTAAAAATAAATGTTTGTTCCAGTTCTATGAAGCTTTGAGTATTTTGGATTAGTAGCACTGCTGTGTTTGTTGCATCATATTGCTGTAATTGTTTATATGCTTTATATATTCTGAGTAAGTTGATCTATAGTGTTACATCATATTCTATAAGGATGTTATGTGTTTGTAGACTTTCTGCCCAGTTTGACCCATTTAACAGAAGTCAGCCTGTTTAAGGCTCTGATATCTATTCTGTATGACTTAAAGCAGTTATGACATGGTCTGATTTTCTCACCCAATAAAGGAATATTTCATATATCAGTCTACTCTTCATTTTATCAGAAACAGTTTTCACAGCTCGTACATTTTCTTTTTACACATAT